GGGATTCGAACCCGCCACCTTAGGTGTATGTGGCTGGCGCCTTAGCCCCTTGAGCCACAGGCGCCGAGCCTGAAAACCAATACTTAAAAGCTACAATCAATCATAACTTAGAAGGAAAAGAGAAACACTATACCCAAATTAAATTAATGAATTAAATTTTTAGCTATGGTACACATAAAACCTCTAGAATTCTTACCTTTTAAACTGACAAGGGCTTTTGCTGAAGAACCTGCAATTAAAAATAAATCAATAATTATTTCATAATCAAGGTGAGAAATAAAAACTTGGTTTGGAAGTAAACATGATCCCACCTTTTTTCTCCTTACCTGTTATCATTAAAGGCAAACATAATCTGTTTAGTTTTACCAATGTTGAATTTGAAGTGATGATATGTGCAATTAGAAATAACTAACAATTCAAGCTGTAGACCAGAATAGGGTAAGGAAGAAATGCAGAAAAAATAAGGAGCTTTGTTAAAGTTTTGAGAACTGGACACTATTTCAGGAGAGGAAAATGGAGAAAGAGAGAAAAGAGAAAGAATAGGGACAGAAGAAATTTGGGGTTTTCATCCAGAAGTGCTCTGGTGCTGGAGGAATAGGGAAAGGAAACTGACATTTATTGAGACAAAGACTAGAAGTAGTAATAGAATGGAGAAAACAGACAATGGGAATGATCCAGGGAGTGTCATAGCAGGCAGTAAGTTCCCTGAACGTCTAGAATGCAGGTATATGCAACACTTAAAGACTCAAGCTGAAAAGGGGAGCTCACAATAGCCATGAGGGGCTAGAATAAAGTTGGAGGGGCTCACTGTGTAAAACAAACTCTACCAGGAAGTTCTTCACACATGCAGAATCTGTTCTATTAATAAATAACAATTTAAGGGATTTTGTTGCAGGTAACCCAATTTGAGAAATACTAGGCTATATATAGATCCTGATGTGAATAAAGGACATGGGGGAAGTAGGAGAATCAATAGGGGAAGAAGGTTTTTGAGAGAAGGAAAGCATACATTTAAAACTGAGGCTAGCGGGTTCAAACCTGGGTTAGGCCAGCTAAACAATGACAACTGCAACAAAAACAGCCAGGCAAGGGCAGCGTCTGTGACTCAAAGGGTAGGGCACAAGCCCCATATACTCGAGATAGCAGGTTCAAACCCAGCCCCCAGCCAAAAAAAATAGCCAGGCACTGTGGTGAGCACCTGTAGTCCCAGCTGCTTGGAAGGCTAAGGCAAGAGATGGCTTAAGCCCAAGAGTTGGAGGTTGCTGTGAGCTGCAATATCACAGCACTCTACTGAGGGCGACATACTGAGACTGTCTCAAAAAAAAAAAATTTCAGAACTGGATGTAAAGAAGTCCAAGTCATTTGAAAAATAATAATTAAGGGGCCAGGCGCAGTGGCTCACACCTGTAATCCTAGCACTCTGGGAGACAGAGGTGGATGGATAGCTTGAGCTCACAGATTTGAGACCAGCCTGAGCAAAATAGCGAGACCCCATCTCTACTAAAAATAGAAAAAAACTGAGGCAAGAGGATCACTCGAGCCCAAGAGTTGGAGGTTGCTGTGAGCTATGATGCCATAGCACTCTATGCAGGGTAGCAGCTTGAGACTCTGTTTCAATAAATAAATTAATAAATAAGGATTGATCACCTGTGGCTCAGTGAATAGGTTGCCAGCCCCATATACCGAGGGTGGCAGGTTCAAACCCGGCCCTGGCCAGACTACAACAAAAATGGCGTTGTGGCGGGTGCCTGTAGTCCCAGCTACTCAGGAGGCTGAGCCAAGAGCTGGAGGTTGCTGTGAACTGTGTGACTCCATGGCACTCTACTGAAGGCAATAAAGTGAGACTCTGTCTCTACAAAAATAATAATAATAATTAAGGATGATCTCAGGAGATGAAATAAAAAAGAACATGAGGCTCGGTGCCCATAGCTCAGTGAGTAAGCCACATACACCAAAGCTGGCAGGTTCGAACCAGCTGAAACAACAATGACAACTGCAACCAAAAAATAGCCGGGCATTGTGGCAGGCACTTGTAGTCCCAGCTACTTGGGAGGCTGAGGCAAGAGAATCGCTTAAACCTAAGAGTTTGAGGTTGCTGTGAGCTGTGACACCACAGCACTCTACCGAGGGCGACATAATGAAACTCTGCCTAAAAAAAGAAAAATATGAACCAGATTATAAAAATAAGAGAAGATAGATCTGTCCTCCAGGGTGTTTAATAAAAGTAGTAATGATTTACAATTTATATAAATGGATATCAAATGTTATCAAACAGATAAAGTATGGCAGTCATGGCTATGGAATATTTCACCTCAAATCCTTAAATAATATGCATCTCAGATCCCCTAAACCTCACTGTACTCTGCAGTAAGAGGCTTGCAGAAGAGATACTTGTTAGCATTAAAGCCACTCTAGTTTTCACTCTACTCTCTCGCCTAGATATCTGCACGGCAAATTGAAGCTTAATGACCAAAGGCAGTAGCAAAGTAAGGTGACCAGACGTCCCGCTTTTGGCGGGACAGTCATGATTTTTAACAATTTGTCCCGCATCCCACAGCATTTTTAAAAAGTCTCAATTTTTGGAAAGAATGCACGACAAGCTAGGGAACGGTGGGAGAACGGGAAGGGAATATACGGTATTTGGCTGCCATGTGGCTATTTCACCAGGATATGAGTTTTATATTATTTTTGTTACTTTTATAATGTTAAACTTTAATAATAATAAATAATTGTTGAGAACTGCTTATCAAAGTTTGCATTGTTTATCAGTTGCAAGAATTTGACCACCATAGTTTGGACTTAATAAACAATGGCATTTTTTGGCATCGGCAACCATGAGAACATTTTGTAACTGTCTCTCAGACCATACACATCGTACTGCCTGCTAGTGCTAGTTAAACAAGTTATGTCAACAAATCAGCTATTCAGATAATTTAGGTAAGTCATTTATTTATTTATTTCATGAATTTAGCAGACAGTACTCATATTATTTATATTTTATAGTGGCTGCAAAAAGTCTAGCACCAGCCTTGAAAGTGACACTTACGACTTACGAGGTATCATTATTAAAAACATATATTGATAAGGAAAAGGTTAAGTCTTGGACATCAGCAAAAATCACAATAGAGAACAAATGGTTAGAAATATTGCATCATTTTGAAACAAACCATGTTCCATACAATAATGCACTAAAAATTGTGGGATACACACAGTCCTTACCAGGAACTAATGCTGCGACTGAACGCGTTTTTTTCTATGGTAAATAAAGTGTGGACATTAGAAAAGTTACAATTAAGTGTTGAGACTTTGAAAGCCATTTTATGTGTGAAATAAAATTTAACAAATTCTTGTGAAAAATTTCATGACCTTTTAAACGACAGCAATCTACTAAAAAAAATTCACTCAAATGAGAAATATGCCAAAGAATAAAATAATACTATACATAATTTATTTAATGTATTATATTTGTAAACTGTACTTATGTTGAAATTTTAAAAAATTACAATACTATTTTTGCATTCTATGAAAATTTTTGTTGCTCCATATAGACAAAATTTTTAATTAAGAACACACATGGCTCAGCACCTGTGGCTCAAGCGGCTAAGGCGCCAGCTACATACACCTAAGGTGGTGGGTTCGAATCCCCAGCCCAGGCCCGCCAAACAACAATGATGGCTGCAACCAAAAAATGGCCAGGCGTTGTGGCAGGCGCCTGTAGTCCCAGCTACTTGGGAGGCTGAGACAGGAGACTCGCTTGAGCCCAGGAGTTGGAGGTTGCTATGAGCATGATGCCATGGTACTCTACCCGGGGGGATAGCTTGAGGCTCCATCTCAAAAAAAAAAACAAAAAAAAACACACACACACTTGTCAATGGTGTCCCGCTTTACCAATGTTAAAATCTGGTCACCTTATAGTCAAGTCATAGGGAAGTGGGAGAAGAATGCCATAAAATCTTGCTAAAAAGCCTCAAATAATACAATATAGCAGTGAAGCAATAATACTAGACAATGCACACATCCAGGTAACTAACAAGAGAAATACAGTTCATTTGATTAAAAGTAGTAACCATTCACTCATTCCAGTCAATATGTACCAGGTGCTAACTGCTCTAGGCAATGGGGATACAACAGCAAGCAAAACAATCCCCTATAAATTCTCTGTTCTGATGGAATTTACATGCTAGTGACAGGAGACAAACACCCATCAGGTGATGATAAGCTCTATGGGAAAAAATAAAGCAGGATAACAGGAATAGGTAGGTGCGGTGAGGGAAAGGCAGTCCCTGAGTTACAAACATCTGCCTGATGTACAACTTGCACTTATGAATGGAGACTGTTTAATGAGTAAATGTACCTGTTCCAACTTACATACAAATTCAACCTAAGAACAAACCTACAGCCAGGCATGGGGGCTCACACCCGTAATCCTTAGGCAGGTAGACTGCTTGAGCTCAGGAGTTTGAGACCAGCCTGAGCAAGATCAAGACCCCATCTCTAGGAACACTAGAAAAATTAGCTGGGTGTTGTGGCAGGTGCCTTTAATCCCAGCTACTAGGGAGGCTGTGGCAAGAGGATTGCTTGAGCCAAGAATTTGAGGTTGCTGTGAGCTATGACTCAGGGTGACAGAGTGAGACTTTGTCTGAAAGAAAAAGAACAAACCCACAGAACCTATGTTGTTTGTAACTGAGACTGCCTGTATAAGCTGCTCCTGATCAGTATCTCTGAAAGACAATATTAGTAGCGATCTGAAAGAAAAGGTATAAGCCATATGCTATCTACTCCTCTTTCACGAAGGCAGGAACCTTGGGGACTTTGACCTAGCACACTTTAGCCTTTTTTTCTTTTCTGGGAGGCAATATAGCTTGATAGTTAAGAGAATGCATTCTAGGTTGAGACTATGTTTGAATCTTGGCTGTGCCACTTTCTTGAATGATACCTTAAGCAAGTTACTTAACCTATCTGTGCTACTGTTTATTCATTTGTAAGACTAGGATTAAATGAGTTAATACATGAAACAGTGCTTAGAACAATGCACACAGTACATGGTTAATTTTTGATACATTTTCTGTATTTTTGATACAAAAGCTGTTACCCTGTCCTACTGACTATTCTTCACATATAGGCAAGAGAACACAGTGAAAGCTAGAGTGGCTGTATGCTATCAGATATCTGTTCTGCAAGCCTCTTAGTGAAGAGTCAAGTGAGGTTTAAGGGATCTGAGATGCATAT